CGGGGGCCTCTCGGGCGGAGGCCGCGCCCCCCGTCTGGACGCGCGGGCCGCCCCGCTGCACGGGCCTTCCCGAGGCCGGCTGTGCTTTTTTCGGGCCCGCCCAGCTCCCGTCCTCAACCCCCGGGATTCACGAGCCGGGAACAACAGCGGAAAAGCGTTGTTGTCAAACAGTCCGTCGCCTTGGTCATTTTTGTCCGCGTGTCCAGGAATTGGGAATGGGTGTAGGGAGGGAGGCAAAACTTTACCTTCCTAAGGTCCTGAGCTGGGCCAGGAAATTAAATTGACAAAAAATAGATGAGCAGGAGGAAAGCCCACAAATTTATCTAATACGTTTCACGGGACGTGGGCGCCCTCCTGGGGAGATGAACTCACGAAGAAGCGCAGATCCTAAATGCTTTTATAGTTGGCTGAACAAAGGTCTTTAAACAGACGCTGATTTGGAGGGGAAAAGTGGAAGTAGAGGAAGATGTGAGCATCAGCACACTGTTGTCATGTTGGTAAAAACATACGTTCACCAGGTTGTCATTTCCACTGACTTACTGATCCAAGTTCCTCTCCACGTCCCTGGCTCCTGGTGTATTTTATATTTGAAAGGGGTTAAGTCGGCTAAAACTAAGAAGGTGTTACCGAGTTAGGCTCTTGGGTCCCAAAGTCGTAGAAATGAACAATGCACCCAGCAGTAAAGCAAGCAACGCTTTATTAAAAATGAGGATAGACTTATGCATACAGGGGGGTAGATACGGGAAAGCTAGGGCCCCCTCCCTCCCAGGGGAGCTGTTCAGTCTTTTATAGGAAAAGGAGTTAAAGGATGTAGGCCAGCATCACTGGAGGTGGTCCATTCTTTTCTTCTTGGTTGGGTCATGGTCAGATGCTTAGTTAAAGCTTTGGTCCTTGCACCTGCTCAGTAGGACCGAGATGGTGGTGGTGGTCCTGATCGTTACCCCAGGAGGGTCATTGTGGTGGTCACCTTGAAGTGTCTTAAGGTTAATCTGTAACTTAGTTTTTACAATTACAGTAAACAAGCCTTGGGGAGGGGTTTTGCAACTCACTGAGTATCTGTTCTTCTGTTAGTCTGTTTTATCAGGGCAGGCCATGGGGTAAACATGTGCCTTCGGGAGTCTTATGACTGAGGAGTGGAAAAGTAGCAAAGTGTCCTCGGCAGGGAAAATGGAGTCAGTTTGGTTCACAGGCCTAGCCCTACTCTGTCTCAAAGGCAATCTTGAAAGAGCCATTGGTCTGAATGTGGAATCTTGGGCATATAACTTCTCTCAGCCTTTTTGTTTAATATGTGGTTAAAAACTGTGGATAACAATTTCTCACTCAGGGATGTTAGTGACTGAGTTAAAGTCTATAAATTGCCTGGCAAACTGCCTAATGTGCTACCTTCTGTAGGGCCTCAATGAATGTTGGCCTCTCTCTGCCCTTTAAATCATGTTTTAGAATTCATGTCACTATTGGTGTTTGTCTAGATTTCCTCTTTTTATATACATATATCTGCTATATTTGTGATTTAGTCTTCAAATTCTTTATTAACAAAAATAAATCTCTGGCAAGCATTAAAAATATCCATCATTGATACATATTATCAGTTGGTATCTCAATACTACCCTTGGAGTAAGGAGGCTACTGCAATGTTTAGTGAAAGATGAATGAAATGAACTCGACAGCCATCTGATGGGGGTAACAGTCTCCATGAGAACAGAGATGTGGGAGCAGGTGAATTTCATTTTCAACATCACAATATAAATACTGGTCCAACTCAAAAGTTCTGAAATTGTGTATTTTTCTTTTTACCATTTATATCTGGATAAATGTGGTTTTGATCTCAGCTATATAACAAACTGACTTATGTTTAAGAGAAAATTAAACCACAAATAGCTAATGGGGCTTGTGATATCTCTGTGCATAAGTAGTAAGATAATTACTTAAAATAAGTTGGGGTGGAGAATCTATGCCAGTGGTTGTGATTACATACCAAAGAAAGGGGAAAATGGAAATTGTATTGTTCTTGAATGTGAACATGAGAAAACATTAAAGGGAGAGAGGGGTAGTCGTTTTAAAAGGTGGTTATAGGAAAGCCATAAGATAAAATGAATATGAATGAAGTGCCACTGTCTTCTTTATTAGATATTTTTACGACTGATAGATTTTTACATTTTTAATTCTTAAAATATGTTAAGAGTGCAGTTAGATGATATCAAACTGTGCATTTGTTTTGATAGAAATGAAATTTCATGAAAATGAGAGTGTTGAGGGTCTAATTGTGTTCTTCCCTCAAAAAGATGTGCTGAAGTCCTAACCACCAGAACCTCATAATGTGACCTTATTTGGAAGTAAGATCGTGGCAGATGTAATTCGTTAAGATCAGGTCATACTGGAGTAGTGTAAGCCCATAACCCAGTGTGACTGGTGTCCTTGTAAGAACAGAAGAGAGGCAGAGTGTTGGGAAAATAGAATGGCTTGGTCAGGAGCCTCACCTCAGGTCTAGTTGGGTGTGGTTCAGCACATCCTTTGTAAGCAAATGGGGTGGGGGTGGGGTGGGATGTGGAGTTAGTGCGCATGCTCACGATGTATCTTTTTTAGTTTTGTTGCTATTCTTGTGTTCTTCAGTTTGTGAAGCAGGCGCACTGACGACTGCCTCCGGCAGCCTCTGCTCAACACAGCCATGCTTTTAAACCTATGGCTTCCAAGGACCTGTTTGCCAGTTACCTAGCTCATAGACCTGCGTGTAAGGGGTCTAGTGACCCAGCCTGGCATGTGAGGGGTCTGGGACCCAGCCTGTGAATGGGCTTGAGGGGTCTGTGAGGACCAGACAGCCGTAGCTCGACAATTGGCCCAGTTGGTGCAGGATTACTGGCAGGTAAAAGAGCCCGACAACTGGCATGTTCGAGTAGCTTTACACACAGATACACGGAATAAGATGGCCATGTGTTGACAAGAGGCAGAGATTGGAAGGATGGCTCTACCAGACAAGGAATGCCGAGGATTACCAGCCAACACTGGAAGCTAGAAGAGGCAAGGAAAGATTCTGCACCTGTAGGTGTCAGAGGGAGCGTGGCCCTGCTGACACCGATTTGGGGCTTGTAGCCTTCAGACTGTGATACAGTACATTTCTCTTGTTTTAAGCCACCCACTTTGTGGTACTTTATGGCAGCCCTAGGAAACTAATACTAATCCAGAGGATAACTTGTTAATTTGTAAATTAAGCATTGTGTAGTTTCAGTTTCTTACTAAGTATTCTTTACGTAATTTATTACCTGATCTTATTTTAGGTTAGCTACATATATGTGTGGTATAATCAATCAATAAAATTCACCCCCAATTCTAAAACTGCTCAAGTGTGCTTGTCTGAGTCATATTTCTATAGGTAGGCTTTTATACCATTTTTTATAATATTGGTCCTAATATTATGAAAAGCAGTGAGCCAATGAAGCAAACACTCTTAGTTTCCTATCTCAAAGCCGTTTCATCCTTTCCTTTTTCTTGACTTTGTTATGGCTGCAGACTTAAGGGGAATTGAGCCCAGCTCCAGAAGCTGAATCATGATTAATCTGAAGCACTGGTTCTCAAAGTGTGGTTCTTTGAGCAGCAGCATCACCTTTATCTTGTGTATCAACAGGGTCCAGTCAGAAAATGGAAACCACACAATTTGATAGGAAAAGTTTAATAAAAAGAGTTATTCTCTATAATGATATTGGAATAACAATCGATTGCCTCATGAGAAGTAAAGAGAACTCTAAAGAATATAGGAATAGCAGATGTAAGGAGCAGCCCCACCTCAAGGGCTGAGAGGGTACTCAAGAAAAAGGCCTCTGTTATTAGCTGTTTGTTGCAGTGTAATGAATTACCCCCAGACTTAGCAACTTTGTAAGCACTTATCTCACACACCATCTGAGGATCAGAAATCTAGTGCAGGTTCTTGGCAATCATGGCTCAGGGACTCTCACGAAGCTGCAGTCATTAAAAGGCTCAACTAGGGCAGGAGAATCTGCTGTCAAGCCCATGCACGTAGTTGTTGGCAGGCCTCACTAGCTATTGGCTGGGTGCTTGTTTCACACCATATGGGCCTCTCTGTAGGGCTGCCTCATGACATAGCCACCGGCTCTCCCCAGACTAAGTGAGCAAAGAGAGAAAGTATACAAGAGCATCCAAAAATAGAAGCTGTGGTCATTTTATAATGCAATCTCAAAAGTGACATACCATAACTTCTGC